CCGTTGTGAAATGCTTAAAACATGCTGGTTTCAGACTCCAGACTGCTGTTGGCACCAACAGACAGCAATGAGAGCTCGAGCAGTACGCAACTGTTCGACTACATGCTGGGTGAGTATCGTTTGCTTACATGTCGTTTGGTCTGGTGCTGACTGGACTTGGTAGGTCGATCACCCCATCGATGAATAGGCCCATGAGTCTGCATACGGAAGGACTGAATCAGATCTATTCTATAATGAAGGACACGACGCATGCACGATTAATACATCACCGAGGATATGGCAGAGTCTGACATGGAGGCAACTACGCATTTCGACTGTCGGAAGATGAGCGTGGCGTTGTGGATCCATTGATAATGATACCAAATAATATTTTGATAGACATAATCGCTTCGAATGATACCAAAGGGAATTAATTAGCATCCATAGGGAAGCAGAGTATATATCCCATACAAAATCACAATATGAAGCGCGGCGAGAAGATTATTTCCTTTTAAGGGACATGTCTGAGATTGATCAATACATGGAGGACTTGACATTGATGGTCAGGAAGTCCAAGTTCTGCCTGGACAACTATCTAACAGGACAAGTGAAGACAGATGATTTTTCGGAACGCCAAACAATAGTCTCTGCTTTTGAATCCCCAGCCGAAGACAAATAGACAATGAATAGATGATCAATCAAATGTAACTAGCCATTACGACCGGCCCTTTGACGCCGCTCTCTTGCTTTTCCCAGGTCTTTTGGAGCCACCCTTCATCTTCTTGACCGAGAAGTTACGCAGGTCTCCGCTAGAAATAGCGTCACCACTCTTGGAGTGCCGTTTCTTACCACCGAAGCCGTATTTTTCATTCTTCTTCTGGCGCTTCATTGAGGGTCCGCCGCCCTCGTTGTCGCGACTACGTTTGCGGCTGTCGGGTTTGCCAGAGTCCTCGATGGCGATATCGAATAGATCGTTGTCATTGTCCGTAATGCCAGATTTATCAGACTTGCGCTCTAGTAGATGAGAGAAACATGTCAGTAGTTGTTCAGGAACCTATGTGAAAAGAACGGATAACATACTCTTCTTCAGCTCATTGATCTTCTCGAGGGTCTCACGCTTCTCCTTCTGTCTCTGTTGCAACTTGGCGACTTGCACCTGCTTTCCGAACTTCTTCAGATCCCGCTGCTTGCGGGCTTCCGCGGCAGCCTTCTTCGCAGCAGCTTCATCGTAAAGCTTCTTCTTAATCTTGCTCATGTGCTCGTCAGTCTTGACCATCTCCGCAAAATAGTCGCCGGGCCGAGTGAATGGAACACCCTCCTTCTTCAAGAGGCTACGAGCCTCTGAAGCGGCAGCCTGGCAAACCTTGTAGAAAGCCAATTCTCGGTTCAGGTCGTCGTTGGGGTCGGGGACTTCGATCGGCTCTCTCGAAACTAGGGAATTGTGCTCTGAAAACGGAGTCTGGGAGGTGATGAAGGAAATGCGTTTGATAGATGCGTTGATAGCAGCAGAGTTGTTGATTGTGAGGCGCTGGTGAGGAACCACATCCTCTCTTTCGTCTTCGGACAAGTCGGATAGAGGAATGTCTTCTTCTTCTTCTTCTTCTTCTTCCTCCTCCTCCTCATCTTCGTCTTTCTCGTTGGCTTCCTCTTCTCCAGCATCCTCTCTATCCGACTCTTCATTCTCATTGTCGCTTGATCCGTCTTCTTCTCCATCTTCAGGAGCGTTGCGCTTCTTGGATTTCAAATCCGCCGACTCAGCCTGTGCGCACGCGAGCAATTGGTTTAGCAATTTTGATTTGAACGCTCTTATGTCTCGACTCCAACGTACCTTGCCATTTGTTTCAACTGTCTCTTCTTCCTTATTCTCATCATCTCCAGTATCCGTCTTCTTTGTCGCTTTTCTCTTCTCTGCCGCCTTAACTAATTTCTTTTGCTTCTCTGCATCGTAGTCTCGGCCCTTGTGGGCATCAAGAGCCTGGAGCAACTTGCTGCGTTTAGGCATTTTCTTTATGAAAGCGAAAATCACAATAAAGGTCTAGAGGAGTGTTCGACTGCAAGCTTGCAATTACTGTCGAGCACTGTGCCGGACTTTCAGATCAGGAAACTACGGGAATTTTTTTGGGAAACCACTAGTCCAGATATGGTTAGCATCTAAGATAAGCCATAACTAGTCTAGCTTTAGCCTAGAGCACCTCGGCGATCAGGAGAAACAGTTGATCCTCAGGCATCTTATCGTCTTAATCTGGATATCAGCACTGGGGAGTAACGTAATCCACAACCGAGCGAGCCACCCAACCGAGCGAGCCACCCGAACATGATTCTGGCCGCGGTCGAAAACCATGAGATATTTTTACTACTATGGAACCAAACCAAAGCAGAATGTCTGAATATTCGAATTATCTAGGTCTACTAGAACAGCTTGTTCTAGTATGACCAATTTGATGGCAATTACTACATCGTGGTGGCGCACGCTTCTTAGCAACTGGTTCCATCATCTGTATAGCTTCTTGGGCAAGTTGCTGGCCTTCAGCACCTGTTAGAACACCTCCAGTAGCAATAAAAGATCTAGGGGTTGCGCGCTTTCGCTTCTGCTTCTCATTTGCTGCGCGTAGCCCCTTTATCTCCTGATCTAGGAGAAGAACTTTATGCATAGTGGATTCAGCTGCCTTTGCGAGCTGACGGATAGCCTCATTTGGGGGACTTTGGGAGTTGCGTTTAATAAGCTGCTTGATAAGCTCCATCTGCTTTTGTACCTCAGCAGTAGTATAAGGGGTCTTTGCAGTCCATTCCATATCCGCAGGTCCATGAGCAGTAGTAGGGGGGGTAATAGTCTTGATAGTAAGCTTATCTAGTACCCTTTGGGGGTCCAAAGGAACTAAACCAGAAGCTGCAAAACCACTGCGGATATTTTGAGATGATAAGACCTTTCTTGACTCTCTATAGAGATCAAGAAAGTTTTCCTTATCAATATGACAAATGCCATTTTGAATGCTTCTCATTACCTCTCTCCCATATGCCTCCTTTAGGGGTGCAAAGCAGCCAACATCAAGAGGTTGCAGTTTATCAGATGAATGAGAAGGCATATAAAGAGGGATAATCTGATGATTCTTGCAGAAAAGATCAAACTCTGCTGATTCATGACTAGCATGGCTATCAAGAATCAAAAGACGATATTTCCCAATTGTACGAGCCAGAGTATGCTTTTGAAAGACCTTTTCTAACCATAATACTCCAAGGTCATTAGTCGTCCACCCATTATCACTCAGGCCGATTATCCAGTCAGGGTTGATATCTTGATACCACTGAGACTGGTGGACCTTGCCAGAGAAGATAATCATAGGGGGAAGAGGCCATCCAGAGGCATTAATGCATTCAATAACAGTGACCCATTCGCGATTCCCTGGCTGTATAGCTCGTACGCGGCTTGTTCGATGACGGGATGCAGTGATAACCTTTGCCGTATGGGCTACACCCATTTGGAAGCCAGTCTCATCAAAGTTGTAGATATCCTGTTCAAGAATACCATATTTTATTATAGTATTCTTAACAAGATTGAACCATTGGTTAATGACTTCTGGGTCCTCACATTTTGCACGCTGGTAATCATATTTGCGAGTATATTTTGATATAAGATCATTATGCCGTTTAATAAAGTTGCTGACCCAGTTCTTTCCAGTAGATAGGCCTGGATTTCGATGAGATAGTAAGATATCTGCCATTTTGCGTACAGTATCCTGAGTTGGTGGTAGGCCGCGCTCATCCATATCCAGAATCCATTTCTTTAGAGAACCCTCTTCTAGACTGCTAAGCTTCTGGCAGTTGGCTGGTACATTAACCCGTGCTTTGCGGCCACTAATTCGATGTGTAAGAGTAGATCGAGGAACATCATATGCCGCTGCTGCTGCTCGTATGCTTTTGAACTGGCCATTTTGGTATGCTTTGACTGCAAGAGATATGCGATCTTCTGATTTGACTATTGAATCTGATTGTTTTGATGCCATATTGGATGGAAATTTGGGTTTGATGATGATCTCAAGGATGCAAGGTTTCAGGGGTTCTGAGGTGGCTCGCTCGGTTGGGTGGCTCGCTCGGTTGTGGATTACGTTAGTATACAGGACGATAAACATCACCTTTGCGGTTAAACCTCGGCGCATACATAGCTTTTTTTCTCGAAATTCAGACAGTAATTTACTGGCGTCTCAAACTTGGCTTTTCTGTTCCCTGCCGAAACACCACTATCAATACACCATGGCAGAAGATAGCAAATCCATCTCGACATCAGAGGCCGTCACCCCTCCCACCGGGGAATCTCTGAGATCGCAACAGGTTTGTTAACCGGTCATATTATCAACGAGAAATTGTCTCTTACAGGCACTGTAGAGCTCCGACGCACAAGGTCAGTTCTCAGCAGCGGTGGACGACCTCCTGGACCAATTACAACACAAGTTCGACAATGTGTCGCGGGAAGTGTTCGCAAAATGTTCGTTTGCCTCCCAACCTATCACTAGGCTAGCTATACACGATACTGACTTGGACATTTCTAGTGGACGATATGGCTACGCGCCTCGACGAGCTGGAAGCTTCCTTGACTATTGCGGGCGACACGGCGGCGGCAACAGCCTCGTCTCCAACCAAATGACTTTTCGTGCATGCGTATAAAGTGTGGCCTTTCGATTCCATAGCATGTTATTGCATTGGTGGTCTGTTTCTGTGCGGAATGGAGTTTATAGGTTAAGTTCTTAAGCGATGCATTCATTTGAAAGGGTGGCAGATGCGCAAGTGTACTTTGTTGTGTTGATGTCTCACGTATTGAGAGATACCCTATCGAGATTTTGGGAAATAGATGCCTCTTGTTATATATTTCTTGAACTGTTGTTCCTCGGGTCGACCCATTGTTTCTACATTCTTTGCATCATGGAGTTTCCAGGCACATATTTCATAGACCAAAAGCACACAATTGAACAGTCCGTCAATGATCTCCCAATGCGAGCAATCTTACACTCTTGAGCCAGTGGAAGAATCTACAGCTCGTCCTTGGCATCAGTCTCTTTCTCGCCGACAAACTTGCGCAGGATGTTGCTGCGAGAAACAATATCGTCCATCTTCTCGGGGGCCGAGCCACCCTTCTCAAGGATTTTTTTGAGACGAGCCAGCTCCTTGCTGGCATACTCCTCGTTCTGGCTGATCTTCTCAGCAACCTTAACATAGTATTGAGCATACTTGTCCTGAAGACCCTTGGCAGCCTTCTTAACCTCCGCAACCAGCTCCTTAGCGTTGCGCGACGAGACGTACTTGGTGATGAACTCATCAAGAGCGGCGACTGTGCCGGCCTTCTCGTTCAGACCTCCACCAACGGCACGGTTAGTACCGGCGTTGGCGTTCAGGAACTCGATGAAGGCCTCCTCGGAACGAGCACCGGTGTAAGAAATGGGCTCGGTTGAGCCCTTGGGGAAAAACTTGATGGTGGGGTATCCGGTGACGCCTTGTTCTTTGGCGAGAGCCTTGGAGTTCTCTGCCTCGGCGTCGACCTTGGCGATCACAACGTTGGGCTCGAGTGCGAAGTCATTGGCGAGGGTCTCCCAAGTAGGGGCAAGGTTCTTGCAGTCTGTAAACGCCGAGGTATATTAGCTCTGTCCGACGAAGCAGAAAAAGAGGAATATCAAAGGAAGAACTCACGTCCGCACCAAGGCGCAGTGAAAGCAACCAACACATTCTTGTCACCGCCAATGGTAGACTTGAATGAAGTCTCAGTCAACATCTCAACCTTGCTAGGCTCCTTCTTTGGTCCACGAGGCTTGATGCCCGTCTTCTCCGTAATGAACGCCGACAGGCTCTCCAGATCCCGGCCACCCTTGTAGTCCTCGGGCTTGTCGCTCTTGCCATCGAACCACTTCAGGGTAGGGAATCCCTGGACACCAAATCTCTTTCCAAGATCTCTGTGTTCGTCCGCATCCACCTTGGCCACAGTCACCTTGTCCTTGGCGGATTCGAAAGCCTGAGCGAGCTCTTCATAGACGGGTGCGAGTGTCTTGCAGTGGCCACACCAAGGGGCGAAGAATTCAACGAGAGCGGGCTTTCCGGACTTGAGGACGACATCGTCGAAATTCTTGGGAAGCAGATCAATGACAGCGGAAGCGGCGCTGGCGATACCGACGAGCAGTGTGAGGCAGCTCACAAGCAGGAAGCTCAACCGAGCCATGGTGGCTTGTTCGATAGAAGAAGCGGAGGCGAATTATCCTCAATCAAAAACACAAGATATTGGACAATATTCTATACGAACTGTCTCAATGGTAGAAGAGCTGTGATTACTGCCTTCAACCAAATCAGCTCAAATAGTTGAAGGTGGTGTAATTTGCCTCCCAACGTATGGATCCCACACCATAAGCTCCGCTATCACCGCAGATCACAGCGGATTTATCAGCGGGTCGGAAGAGGACACTTGGTATTTATCTATACCTATACTCGTAAGAAATTACAAACCACGATGCATACAACCCCAAATGGACTTTGTCAATCAAGATGTTTTGCATAAGTCTAACTGTAACAAACGTGCTATGAGTATGTCACCTAATGTAGAGATGGCAGGTGGCCAGTAAGGTGTTTAGTGTTACAGTCCCTTTAGATCTAATCTTCACAAGACGAGTCCCTCGGTCAATCACCATTGCTGACAAGTGATAACGCTGTTGATGTCCGTAGACTGATTTCATTCGTGAGATTGCAGTTCCACAACTGCCCCTTAGCCCTATCTGCTGGGTACAGCTTAACAACTATCGCCTCCCCGACAACCATTCATTTGCCTCCTTCCACAACTGAACGTCCTTGAATTCTTTACTCGCGTTCTGCGTGCCCTTATAAACCTGATATAGAAGGAAAAGATCAGCTTACGCGGTGAAAATGGTTTCAATTGCTTGGCACTCACCGCATCCCAGAGCTTGAAAGCCTTTTCAAGATTGCTCGTAAAGCTGTCACTGTGTTGAAACCATTCTTTACCCTTGGACTTCACCTCTAACCGTGCTTCCGGCGAAGTTGGGTCCGCCTGCAGGGGCAGATCATCGAGATATGTTCGTACTGCAATTCCGAGACCGCAGTCATTGTCGTCGATGAACGGGAGTCTAGGAGGTCAGCGCCATCGATCTTCGTGAAGCGTGATATGAGCCTTACTTGACACTCATCTCGATCCAGTCATGCCTATCTCTGCTGGCATCTCCGCTAAGAAGCAGGCTAGCTAAAACAACTTCAATTAGATTTCTTAATGTGGAGCGGACCTCGGAAATAAGAGAGCGGTAACAGAGCAATTGCCTGCTGAGGGGCCCTGAATAGCCGATATTCTTGTGTTGTATCTTAGCGATACAAGCCACACGTGAGATCAGGATATTGAACTTCTTGTCCTCATCTAGTGGGAGAGGCGAGATCAGTAAGATATACATTCGGGCATCAACCAAGCACAATCAACTCACCTGATCCTCTCATCGGACCTCCTGAGACATGAGAAAACCACTCTTTGGAATTCAGGAGTCCGAAACGGACCATTTCAACGGCGAGGAACGTCGCCTCTTCCAAATTATCGCCCGGATCAAGGACGGAAAGTGCTTGGTCGAGGCAGACACCCCATGAGGTGAGTTGGTGCTTCTCATCAATGTAGCCTCGCAATTGCAGGAACCTCCAGTAGACGTTGGCAAGAATTTCATCCTGCGATGATAGCGGCTTTTGATCATTAGAACCATTTATAGAGAATAATCCGATAATAAGAGGCTTGGTTAGACTCACTTGAGCATCCTTGGACGATGCAAAAGACTTGGCTCCGAAATCGGGATCTTGCAGGCTCTGTACGGCAAACTTGAGCGGCGAGGAGGTGCTCTGGTCAATTGTCAGACAATCCAATCTTGTCATGCAGGTAACATGCTGAACCGACCTGTAGCTTCTTTACTCCGTCGGGCAGCTGGTCAGAGCGAATCTTCCATGCCTGGATGGTTTCCTTGACAGAAGGGAGAGTTTTCAGATTGATAGACTTGTCCGACTTTTCATCAAACCATGTCCGTATATTGATCAGTTTGGTTTGGTAGAACCGGTGAAGGGAATTCGAGAGTAAACAGATGGATTGAGTCCTAATTGGAGTGAGCGTGCTGCTCACAATTTGGCGATATATTTCGGTATCTTCCACTCCCAATGGAAGGGAGATTTGAACCTCGCCAGATGTCAGATAGTTCGGGATTTCAGGGCCTATGATGCCCTTGGAGAGGTAAAAGTAAAGTTCTTCAGGCAGTCGCTGGCCGATCAGTTCATGCATATCGGACGGGACGTTCTCCGAATCCATAGGTGCGACCTTGCCATCTACGTCCATGATCACATGGTGCTTCACTGTCATGAATGCGCGCTTGTAAGCATCGGCATATTGAAGTTCCTGCATGCGACGGTCCTCTTCGAACTGAGCACATAGGGCTAGTGCATTTCGACCCGCTTGGTTGAATATCGGAAGAGCATCACGAATGCTGACGCTCTTTCCCGGGAATGTTGGATTTTCGAAGCCCGGGAAAGTTCGCAGGAACGATGAGCCCAATAAAAGGCAGAAATCCAGGAACTGCTCATTTGATAGCCTACCCATTTCATCTTGGCAGGTTTGTTTGGTAATCCAGAAAAACTGAGAAGACTCGACATCGATCCGAGTGATTAGTTTGTCAACGTCGAAGAGAAGTGCTTCAGAGGGCCCAAAGACCGCATCAATGAGGGGATTGGAGCCCTTGGCAAGATAGGAAAGCTAGAGATGAGAAGTAAGAAACCGAGCCGTTGCCAGTCAATCTCTCCGATGGTCGCTTTCTTACCTGAGCCGCGGCACTGTACGGCGCCACGATAAAGTCAACGCCATTTTGGTACAGGATGCGTTGCAAGAATCTGTAAAGTGATTCAGGTCGCGGTGTGCCTGGAGTGGGCGGAGCGTTGTCAGCGCAAACCAGTAAACAGGAATAACGAGGACGCAGAAAGGAAGTCTTACCCGCGCCACTGAATGCGTCGACTACCTGATCCGCCTGTTGTTGGTCATAAAGCTCCCAGGCTTGTTCAAAAGCTCGCAATGACTCTGTCTGCACGTGGGGTCGCTGGTCCTTCTTCCCAAACTCTAGGCCGTTGAAGACGAAAAGACAGGCCACACCCAGTTCCTTGAAATTCTGCAACTCTCTCTCAATATTGGTCTTAAGCGCAAACGGGAAGCCGCCCAGAGCGACCAGTAAAGGCTCGCGTGTCGAGTGGTGGAGAAGGTGCTGGGAAATGTAGTGCGACGCATCGATACCGACAACAGCCCCTTTGAGAGCGGAGAGAGGAAGTGACTGGGTGCGGGCAGAGGCCCATTCATCAAGTGGCCGGACTAATAGTGAGAAAAGTGATAGCAGTCAGCTTCATGAACTAGTCCGCCCACGTATGAGCTCGGAGGGGTCTGTAGGAGTCGCCTTACTCGGCATGGCTTGGAAGCTGGAGCTGTTTGTCACGGAAAAGAGATGAAGGACCCAGTGCCAGGCATGGAGAGCCCGAACAGGGCAGGGGGACGGAGAAGAGTAAAAGAGGGAATAAACGAGCGAGGGAGGGAGAAGGGAGAGTGTAGAAGAGACGAATTGCCCAAGTGGTGAGGTGTCGCTCAAGCTCCGCGTGCCTTTGCGACAATTTGGGTTGAGCAATATTGAATGAAATTACGGGGAGCGGAGATCAATGTTTCCGACTTGCACTTGATCTACGGAATACAATCAGTTACACCACAACCCAACCTACGTCAAATAGTTCAGACACATTCGAAGTTGCAATTTTCTTGATAAATCAATATCGGATCCAGTGCATTCATACCATGCAGATACACTTGTCTATCACAAAGGCTTCCCCGCTCAGTCATCCATGATATATATATATACATATATAGCTTGACCAGCATGCAGGTACCCTAATATGACAGGAAATTTGATTCAGGATATTAACACCCCTACGTCCAGAGCTCGTTTTCTTAGAACCTCGCAACGAGGTGATAAAATTGCCGCCTGACTATTCCTCTGATACCATCTGATTTATCTTCATGCGACTACCAAGGACCACTGTATCTCCTGTGTCCAAGGTCGCAGTTAGCAATGACCTGGATCTGATCGTTTGTGAAAAAGCAGCTGAGCACGCGGAGGCTTTTCATAAACAGTGCCCTGGCAGGAGCGGGGTGAAGTACACCACGTAAACTTCTCAAGAGGTCAGACACAAAGATCACCAGCAGCTCTTGAACCGCGGTGGCCTGTTGACCTGCAGAGATCTCGAGATTCGACACCAGACAATTACCAATGCCTCATGGCGCTATGAGTGTAAGCAACAGCAGCAACTGCTGTGGAGACATTCTCGATATGTGTCATTGACTTGTCGTGATAATCCGCGAGAATGAATTGGCATTGAAAGGAGTCCCCTTGAGTTATGAATCCACGAAACCAGCAGTCAATCAAATCCCTGCACGTGGAATGGCTTCAAAATCCGACTAAGAAAGAGTTGTGTCTCTTTCGTAGTAGATGAAGTCACTCAAACCGTTCTGCGAACGGGATGGGGATAGGCCTTGGCATAAGGCAAGGGTATCATGACGGAGTAGTCCATTGCTCGCTCAGGTACTACTTACTATCTCACTCAGTACTCCAAATAGTCCCACGTTAAGAGACCAACCAACCGAATTCCTAAAGTGATTCTATCAAACAATAGCAGGCTGGCAACATCGCTTTGCCCCAGTCCACAGGCGAGATAAGTCCGTTAGGATCAAGTTTATGACAGTCGCATAAGCTCGGCTGGCAATGTAGCCTTAAAATGGATCTCGTATCTAGAACATATCTCTCCGCTATTTCACTATACAAATAGTCCTTAGTCCCTAGGTTCTCCATTCCATACTTTTGGGATTATTCGCAATTCTTCTCACCCGTCCACCTATCCACCTACGGCATCATATCTCTATCTCCAGCTAGGTCAAAATGGAACAGACGTCCGCGGTAGGACCGCCTATTGAACTCCCCATCATTGACATCTCCAACCCCGCCGACCCCAGTGTCGGTAAGGCCATGCTCGACGCGGCCGCCAAGTACGGCTTTCTGTACGTTGACAGCAAAGGCACCGATTTCGCGGCCGAGGATGTGAATAGAGCGTTTGAGCTGGTAGATTGCCCCCCGATCGTCAATCAAAATCATGGGTTGACAGAGCCTGTAGTCGAAAGCTTTCTTTGCCTCTCCTGCTGAGGAGAAGGCCACTTGCCATATTACTCCTAATGTTTGCTCTACCGGATTTTAACGAATATCGACCGTTAAATTGACGCTGATGCTGGTCGCGTGCAGAATCGTGGCTGGTCAGGCATGCACATTGAAACTCTTGATCCAGAGCATCAAAGGGTAAATCACTCCCTACCACCTTGTACATCTCTCATAAGGCTGACTGGATGCGCCTCACGGCGCATGCTATAGACCGGTGATTTCAAGGAGTACGCCCCTAGCCCCGGATCACAATACTTCTTCGACTTGTTCTCACAAATAACTATAGGGCCATGAACTTTGGCGAATTCAAGGATGGGAAAGCGCAGCAACCCCTCCCCCCATCGCTGGCCCCGCACGAGGCTGAGATTGGGCAGTTTGCCTCCCTCTGCAGCAAGACCTGCAATCGCATCTTGAAGCTACTAGCCCTCGGCCTCCAGGTTCGAGATATTAACCAGTAATTCCACGCTTTCCGCTAATCGCAATCTGACAGATCCCGAACGACTTCTTTACATCCCGCCATGACCCCCAGAACGGTCCCACAGGCTGCATCCTCCGCTACCTGTACTACCCCTCGATCTTCTCGCCCGCAACATCCTCCTACCAGCACGACGTCGACGTGCGCGCTGGCGCCCACTCCGACTACGGCAGTATCACCCTTCTCTTCCAGCGGCCCGGACAGCCAGGTCTTGAGATCCGGACGCCAGAGGGCTCCTGGGCTCCTGTCCCCGTGCAGCCGGGCAAAGCAGAGGATGCCAGTGCCTACCCGTTCCCGCCTATTCTGGTAAACATTGGTGATCTGCTAAGTTACTGGACCGACGGTCTACTCAAGTCGACGATCCACCGTGTCGTGTTCCCCCTGTCTGAACAGCGTAGCCCCAACCCGCAGGACAGATATAGTATTGCATACTTCTGCCATCCGGTAGATACCACGGAGTTGGTTCCCGTACCTAGTGAAGCTGTCGTCGCTCATCGCGAGTATTGCAAGAAGAACGGCATTATCAATGAACAGGTTGGCTTCGGTGGCGGAGCAGGGAACATGACGCCGGGGAAGCGGGCTTTGACGGCTTACGAACATCTCGAATCGAGACTGGCGGCCACATACGGATTCAAGAAGGAGTGATGTTCTGTACGGTGGTGTCAAAAAAGGTGTATAGCGAGAGCTGGCTCCGCGTGGAGCTTGTTGATTTAAATCTTATCGGGTCTACTCTTGATTTACCCTGGAAGTGCTTCAGTAACCGCTGTGTTGGTTTTCAAGAGTGAAGGAAGTAGATAGTACGTGCACGGTCAAGGTAGGAAAGAAACCAACAGTGCGAGATGCACGGACATCAATCACTCCAGTTGAACAGGCACCGCATATCCTGTATATTTTACACCGCATATGGCACTTGTTGGTTGAGCTGACACAAAGCGAGAGGGCAATATGGGAAGTTTGGTTCAAAAGATCGCACCAAGTTTATTGGCGTTCAACTAAGACAAAGGAGAATCGTTATAACAAATTAGAATTCAGCGTCACCAAATTGTAAGTAGAAGACAATGGAAACAAGACTAATGAGTTGACTAGGATAAATATGCAGAATCATGAGCGCTAGAGGTATTCCATGTAGGGCATCCGCCCAAAGTCAATGAGACAATATCGAAAAATGCGTAGACCAAATGATAGAGGGTAAACCGTTGCAAAGAAGGCATAGACGACATACAAAAGGTATCTTTATGATGAGAGGTAACGCCGCCAAGTTCTGAAATGCCATGCATGGGTAAATAGAACTTCACCAAAAGGGTGGGGAAGACACTGGAAATGGGTGACAAATATGACGCTATGCAGGCCAGAATGCATTATTGGGTAGTGGTAATTCCGTCCATTCATATCAGGGCGTGGTGTGGCACCAATGACGATGATAAACCCACGCTGCTTTTTGACAATCTTTGCTGCAATACTTGGTGCGGCGGCAACGGCGGCACTTTGCGAATTGACGCTGAAACTCCTCCCATTTTCCGCACTTGTAGTATGCACATTGTCTGATACCTCCTCTGGACTCGTCCTTACGGCAAAGGTTCCGCATGACCACGCAAGCCCAGTATTGCATATCTTTTGAGTGGTGACGAACGGTGAATTTTTCAACCAGAGGGAAGATGTTGACATCATCAGGAAGCAGATACTCATCCTCTTCTTCAGGAAGTTCAACTGGCGATGTTCCTTCGTCTAGCATTTGAAGTTCGCGATCAATCTTGAGTTTGGGCACAAAATGAGAATGCTGGAAGTAGGACCGGAGGTTGCAATACTTGGAGACATAAGCCAAAAGTTGAAGGGACATGAGAACGTCCTCGTCCCGAGGCATAGTTGTCAAAACACCATGAGCGGCTGTGGTTGTCCGATCGCGAAAGTATAGAGAGTAAGGGCTTGGAACAAGAGCGGGAGAGTTGGCGTTATCAGCTGCCTGGGTAGGGGATAACCCCAGAGTTGCGTTATTTTGGGCGTTGTCGGTATTGATCATGCTGCCGTCCACTGTGGAACGGTGTGTAATGTTGAAGGTCTCGGCTTCCTGCTCTTCAGAAGGATCTGTTACAGTGAGATCGTGAGAGTCGGAAACGCCGCCTAGTATCGTGTCTCTCTCGCCGACGTCATCGATGTCCATTCTATTCTGCAGTCCAACGATAGGCTCAGCTGCCTCTGTGGAAGCAGGATCCTCATCCATTGTAGAACCGTCTCCGTTTCCATCGTCGGATTCGCCCGATGCCGACTGCTGCTGTCTCAACGACGGACGCTGCCTCGCAATTGTAGCCTGTGCGCTGCTTCGATGCTGTACAGGAGCATTGGGGGTAGTCGGAGAATCCGGCTGAGAAGTGAGTCCGGTGTGGAAGCCAGGAAGCATGCTCGGTAACCGCTCATTATCACGCACGGGCCGCAGACCGAAGCCATCAGCAGCATCCATCGAAGGCAATGCTGTAGCCAAAGGCTGCATTCTGTGTCGGTGGTTGACATGCGCAAAGCGGCCGTCGTTTGTTCTATGGTGGTGTATGTCTTGTCCAAAAGTGCTTCTCTCAGGAGGAGAAGTCATGGGCACTCGGGGAGGAGAGGCGACATCAAGCACGTTCGAATCAGCGACATGATTTTCCTGGAAGAAAGGTTGGGGTGGAATTTCGATACTCGGAGGGGGGGCATGGCGACGAGAGGTGCGTTGTTCAGCTGTCGAGGACTGTTCCAGGAAGGACGAACGTCCAGGGGCATCGTTCGATGTTGACACAGCTTTCGAATGATGCCTGGACGACTGTCTTTGAGACTCGGAATCGGCTCGGGCTCGTGCCTTGTCGACAACCTTGATATAGTTATCCAGGATCGTTGCAATTACCGGCACCATATCGGCCTCGACGACCCTTGTTCTCACACTTTCTGAACCTCTCACTCCGATATTCACAACACATTGAAAGGCCAGACTCCACTTCCACATCTCCATGAGGTCCCTGCTCCGGCCTTCTTTGAGTATGCACACGAGTCTTTCAATGCCGCCATCGACGGTGAGGATATCGCGAATACGGGCAGAGGACGTAGTGAGATAGGCAAGATGATTGAGAGAGTTTATGAGGGGTAGAGTTGATGTGCAATCGAGGGCCCGCCGGTCATATAGGGTTGTCGTAATATTGACAGAGGCCTTGTTGACATTGGGAATGCTGAAGTTCACCTCCCGCATTATGGACAGGAGAGTTCGCAGGATCCGAGATGATAGAAAGAGCAGTCGTTCGAAAATGGGGAACTTTCGTAGCTCGATGGAAGGACGGCGTTCGCTTTCAACCCCTAATGCGGACGAAAGCGTACTTGGGATGAAGATGGTTGGAGGAAGAAAAGGACCGAGAGGTTTGTCGTTTTTGTGACAAAATCATGCGGCAAATAGGAGGATGCAAAGATGAACCAAATAGTCTTTAGAGGCCCGTTGATGGACTGGAGATGAGGAAGCTGAAAAGTGATGGAGAAGAGGACAGTGAAAGGGAGTTTTGATCCGAGCCAAGACCAGTCCTCTCAGTCAGAGCCTGATGGTGGTGGCCGCGGGCAGCCACGAGAAGGATGATTCAGATGAGAATGCAAAAACAAGAGTCAGGGGTGAAAGAAGGACCAGAGTTAAATACAAGACATCAACAAAAGTTGGGCTATTATGTATAAACCAAAAATAATGACAGAGATGAAAGTCCAAGAGCTGGAGGATATGAAAGTCTGGCGGAGGATTTGATTATGTGTCGGAGAGGGGGGCAAAATCAAAAGAGGAGAAAGTGAGAGAGAGTGAGCGAACGGAGCCAGGGAGCGTCTGACTATGAAGCCGAGCCGGGCCAGAGCCTAAGCGGAGACTGGGACCGAGAAGGGGGTTTTCTGTTTCATGAATAGCCAGCAACCCCCAAGGTACTATCTAATCATCTGTCTACTTTCTACGCACTCAGGTCGTCGATGGAAGACGCTTCATTTGCTTGGTGATGATCTTAGATACGCCGACTATTGATTTTCTGTCTCTTTCCTTCACCCGCGATAGAGTCGGCATGTACGGCGGACTATAGCCCACGATGTGGACCTCTGAGAGGCTTTTATTGTTTGCCACATGTATTACCTATTGCCACTACCTCCACAGATAATAGTATACTCATAACTAAGGGTATTAAATACTAAATTTAGTGTTGATATCTAATCATCATCTAAGGTAGTAAGTATATCAGTACCGTAGTATTCTATTTCGAATCATTACTTACCTTATCAGGGGTATCCGGAGATTGACTGGGACGACTGAATCGAGATGGATTCATACTTCGCGCGGTACCACGAAAGTCAAGAAGGCCGCGCTGGAGAAGGACCTCGATGGCCATGGGAAGTACGTGGACAATGCTGTTACGAGGAGATACCTGTTTTGGGATCTGAGGTGCTTGTAAAATATCTCGTCCAGCGTTATCCGGAGATCTTTCGGTTGGAAAGGGACTACACTGCACAACTGTTTGACCCGCGAACAGTTCCAATGCCTCGCGAGTATGTGTTATGATGCTTGATGCTGCTGGACGATAGTCTGACGGTCTGGAGGAACCCCAACGGAGGCTATGGTCACATCTGCCCTGCTCGTTCAGGATGATCTGGTCTCGATGATCGGGAATGAATTCAAGACAGCCCTATCGAGCGCAGGACCGTCCGCCATACTAAGGAGCTAGATGGCCAATATCATCTCGATGCAGCAGCTGTTTGTCTAACTACCCCGGTGGGGAACTCCGTGAGAAATTCCGCACGTTGCCGGACACGCTGCATTTCGATGCTGGCGTGCCTCACTACGCCGCAACATAGCAAAAGTCCACGAACCGGTTTCTCAAGGCATTGACGCCCGAGCGGACCGTGGAGCGAAATAACGTGAGCCATGCTAATTACCTCTGCAAGCGTACCGTGATTGACCAGGTCTTCCGCAGTTCTTCATCCAGCTCGATGATGGCCTCTACTGGTCTCACCGGATGGGGGATCAGAGCAGCACCGAAGTTGCTTGTGCGTACTGTCTACCTATCATGTGAAGGAGCATGCGAAAACTAACAGTATGGGTTCAGCATGGGCTACGGCAAACAGCCGAGGGTTGACCGTCGACGAGATCCATTTTCGATCCGAGCGACAGACCTTGTGACGTCTCCTCCGTTTGAGGGCCATTCTTACGATCTGCACCTATTTCGAGCCGATCCCCAAGATCGCGAAAGATCCTTTAATCCCAGGACGGTTGGCCGACGCGATTCGAAACTGCGATAAGACCGTGTCGGTATACAAGGGGAAGGCCCATTGGGAGAATATCCTGCTTCCTTACTTGGATGAACATGGTCGGCTGCAGATGGAATCGGGAATGCATGTGAAGCAAGTGGAGGGACAATTGCCGTATTGGTTTTGTATTAAAATGTGAAATCGAAGGTTTGCATCCCGTCGGACTGACTTATTTCGTTGCGTTTCAGATATCCACGATTCTAGGGTTGATTTATAGCGTAGGCGGGAGAGTATACACCTAAGGGCCTGGTACATATTTAAAAGAAAGCAGTTCGTATGGGTGGAACACTTCTAGCTAGGCCCGACCTAGTAGTAGCTGCTGGACGTAATATTTATTATTTAGGAGCAAAAATAAAAAAGGATTGGGGTGAGCCGGGATTGAACCGGCGACCTTACGATTTAGTGACTGAGTTCAACTTCAGTCGTACGCTACTCCCAGCTGAGCTATCACCCCATTTAATGTTCTTTAATTTCTCAGTTTTGCAACTAGGTCCGAGAATGATATAACTTACCTCTCTCGTAGTCCATATCTGACTAGTCAACTAGTTATTGATTGGTGCTGATGGGGATGGTCCTGTTTTTACTACACCTCAAACTATCCCATGTCCCATAGTCCGAAAAGTGGCAGTAAATATTATCAGACTATAGAGCTACCGTTTTGTCAGCCTGTACTCAACCAAAATGAGATGACAATGGGAGAAAGTAGATATTTGGCCATGTGCCAAATCATCCAACTGAACCATCGCCCTGTTTTGTTTTTGTCCCCACATCCATTATAATAATACTATCGCTTGTTAACTGCCTAACGTAGCACGGTAGGTAATAGGTACCAGGTACTGATGATGCTAACTAACATTCCCTTTTCAATGTGAACAAACTGTTGGATCTTCAAGTCTCATGATAACTATGAATCAGCTCCCTGACGCCTCAAGCCCCGCAGAATGTTCCAGGGTCTCTCAAGAACCTACACATCCTCAACAAATAGAAACCTCGCTTCCTTGTGTACCTGACATTAGTGACACACTGTCTTCTCCAATACTCCATTGACTGGGGTGGATGATCGTATACAGATCATTCTCAATCATCTGTGGGTCAGGGAGGAGGTCTCTTCCTCTTCAGGCTTGGATCAGCCGCTTGTACATCCCGAGATGCTTTTGCCTGAGTCTCCTTAGTACCACTTTCATGGTAGAGAAGTTTGCTGTCCTAAGGAAGCTCTGTCGCACTGTGGGATCGTCCCTGGGGTCAAAAACTTCACTTGTGACCTTGGTCCAGAACTTTGACAGAACTGTTGAATTGACAGTTTCCCAGTTTTCGGCTGGCCTGAAATTTCGGTCTTTCCCCTTGCAGCCTTTGCATTTTAGTCGTGGAATGACGAAGCGAGGCTCTTTCTCTATCGTCCATCGGGGATAGCCACACAATTTCGGACTACTGCAACTCATGCATATTGTCTGGACTGTTTTCGGTAACCCATCGGGTTCTTCTTCCGAGCGGCAAAGGAACGAGTCGAAGTCCCCACGCCCTTTCTTGTTCGGGGGATTTTCCAGAACTTTTCGGGTGCCTCTTATATGCGGTTGCCACTCGTCAAGCGGAACAAGGTCTGTCCTGCCTTTGCACCCTGGTCGACCGCATCCCCCGACTTCGAGTGTCCTTACGACATAAACCGCGCGCTTCTTTATCGCAAATTGAGGAAAGGCATCGTCAAGCACTCCGAGACCACAGGAAGAACATTTTCTCTGCATGACTTGTCCAGATGCACCAGGTATAGTTAACTCCAAGATTATGTGCATCCTTTTGCGGGCAATAGACTCGGTATACATCCACGCCACTTGGAGGGCTAATTCTCGTATGGATGCAGTCTGAATATCATCTGATTGAAGCGCGTTTTCACCACAGCCAAGAAGCAAAAACACCGTCTCAAGCTCCTCGCGGCTTTCTATTGCAGCTCCACTGATCTTCAGACCGTCTTGGCCTTGTAGCCAGTCAATAATTTCCCTTGGCAGATCAACCCAATCGGAGTTTACGACTGCAGAGTTCCCAGGATCGCTCAATCTTTCTTCGTCTAAGGCATCTAAAGAAAGATTTTGATGGGAGATCCTTTGGCTAACAGCAAGCCAGGATTTAACCAGGTGTTGCACTTTTTCGCTTTGAGATCTCCAAAGCTCCTAATACTCTCGTTAAACCTCTATGTCCAATCACATTTTTGGGGCATGGGATTCACTCACAAGATTAGTATTTTCCTCAGCATTTCCGATAGGGTGTTTCTGTGCTTCTTTCTCACTTTCTACCCTACTCCCAGTCGCTTCATCCAGGGTCTAAGGTCAATTGCAAAGGTGACTTCAGTGAGGCCTTTATCTCACAAGGACCGTCTAAGCTTGGGCCTTCATGTCTGGAGTGAAGATCCTCCTGCCTCTCCTGTCTTGATGAATTATTCAGCGGAGAGCGATACAGTCATCCCTAATCAAGAAACATGATTTAACTAGTTAGACCGGATCAAATACCAAGGGTCAAATGCTTATAAGATAGTGGCCAAATGCTTATGATCCTTCTCTAAGTCCTGTAGGATCTGTCGAATTTGTCGCCTCTGTTCCTTCCTTCTACTTTCAAGACGTGATTGTCGCTTTTCTTCTTCTTGGGGCCTTCATTGGAAATGCGGCTCTCGTCTCTTCTCTTGCAGACTCCATTAGTTTCTCACGAACACCTCGTTGCTCTTTTGTGAGACGAGGATACTTGTTGAGCGGATACAGCCCGTAGAAGTTGACTTTGATAGACAGGCCGATCATCCTTGCAGCCAGACCTAATACTGCATCCTGTATCTTTGCTTGGATGGTTCCGTTGGGGACACCGTTCGTTGTAGTGACTGGTCTGGGCCGAAAAAACCATTGAGGGTGGTGCACCTAAAACACGAAGCGTTTTAATGTTTTTCCATCTTCTTCTAGGTCCAAATAGAGTCTGACATCTTTATACTTGCCCCAAAGAGGGAATCGAATCAGCTGACCTTGCTGTTCTACTTTCCTCCACACAACCTCACCCCAACATATCTCGACCATAGCAGACATGTTTTGACGCAGATCGCGATCGAAACCATCGTAGGGCTTTTAGACGTCATCTGTCCAGAAGTGAAGATAAATTAGTGTTTCCTCTCTGCGGCAAATCTGGTCAAACATGAACGAATTCTGGGACGAGAATCCGTTCTCGTGTAGTAGACAAATGGTTGGGTTGCTTGGGTCGTCGGTTTCACTACTGTGTGGATCCGTGACATATAAGGTTGGATTGAGGAGATGGTGTGATATGGGGGCCGCGATGGATCCACTAGGATGTAGGAGAAAGCGAGCTGGTCGCTCAGTTCCACGCTGTCTCCAAGCACTGGTCCCTTCACGGACGAACTCACTGAACCGCTCTTCGAATTCTCAGACGTATTGTGGCCCTGCTTTTCCACCGCGACTTAGATGCATCCGAAGACGAGAGGTCTGGTATGACATACGACGCGGAAGTTCCCTTTCAAGCGTCCGTATCAGGGGCATGAGTCGCTGCAAGACTTCATACTCATATTCATTCAGGAAATGACTTGGATCCTCTAGCCTAACATGTGCAAAGGATCGAAAGGGATGCGAATCCTGACCGTTCTCCATGGTGGGGTCAGCATATGAAGGGAGTTGCAGTCAGTATAGACCTGTTGGGCGAGGTCCATAGACGAGATGTGGTATTGATAGATGTTGTATGTGTGGAGGTCAGAGGGGCAATAGGTGAGAAGGGCAGGGGATAGGAAGAGGGGAAAGGACAATGCAGGAGAAATGAGGAAATGAGTGAATGGGTTTTGGGAAGTGGTGGTTGCCGGAGACATTGATGCCTGCCTCGACAAGAAGCGAGAAAATGAGACCGCTTGAATTGCTCTAGGCACGCAGTGGGAGAAGATGACGGAATAGGTGCAATATATAGCCATCGAAATAAACTATGGAGGAAAGAACCCTGCGGATATGGAGCTAGTAGCAAATGATGCTGAGCTGAGGCGCATGGTGAGCTGATATCTTTATATCGGAAGACGTAGTTAAAATATATAGTCGTACATTCGATATACCCAACATAAAGTGGCCGTCGTTAAGACTTTCCGTGCAGGTGTTACATAGGCCTCTAGGTAGCCTCCCCTGCACTCATATTACTCCTAATCCTGCCGATACTACTAATCCTGCTGACAATTGCGACATGCCTCTGTATCAACAAGCCTAGTGGCCAGACACCTGTGCCCAGTGATTTGCAGCGAAAAAGCCATCAAAGAGCACCTCGTACCGCACGTATGCAGACAATCAACTTGTTCTCCTTATTGGATAACTTTGAGCCTCTGTTTGTATACCCGGTTTTCCCTATTCCCATTGATCCAGGTGCTTGATACTTTGTATCGTCCTCGTGTTGTACATTACCCACACTGCATTGTTTGTACCTTTTGATGGAAAGCTACATACAGCCTCATGATGTATTATTTTTCGTCGTTTCCTACCAAATGGGGTGATAGCTCAGCTGGGAGTAGCGTACGACTGAAGTTGAACTCAGTCACTTAATCGTAAGGTCGCCGGTTCAATCCCGGCTCACCCC